GCTGCACTTCATATATTACAGGTTTGCTCAAGGGTTCGCTCAACATCGATATGTTCGAGACACTACTTCATTCGTATTGCAGAAGAGTTTCAAATTTGATGATTCTATTTTTCATCATTGCATAGCTTATGACTTGTTTTTCAGCAATGGACATGTCAAACTGAAGAAGAGCAAAATTATTGAGCCAAAAATATCTGTTTTCTGTTATGATCTCAAATTCATGCCCCTTTCACTTACGCAGTTCAAATATATAGCCCCGCGAGAGTTCAAAATACAAAGCCCCTTAAAACAACGTCGTCTGGTTTCTGAAGTATAAAGCGCAAAACACACAACGCACCACGCCTAAAGAAAACCAAACAAACTAAAAATGAAAACATAACATGCATGGAAAATGCATGTGAAATCCACATCTTCATCACAAACAGTGTCAAACACCAAATACCAAATCAAGAATAATGGAAAAAACATAGAACACAAACCTCTTGATCCTCCTCAAGGTACTAGGATCGATCTCAGAGCTAACACCCGGAGCCATCCTCTGCTTGAGAATCTCATTTCCCCACTTGAGTCGATCCATGGTCACATCCCCGCACCAGAGTATCCCCTTAACCAGCTGCCCTGAACCAGCTGCAATCAGCCGTGCCGCTGTCCCACTGTACTCCTCCACGTTCGGGGCCAGAGTAGTCCAGTAGGCCGCGCACTTACCCTCGACCTCCTCTTTCTTCTTCTGGTCCGATTCAAGCTCGCTTGCAGTTATCTCACGGGCTGCTTCCCCAGCCTTGGTCACCACTGACTTCTCCTCCACAGTCCTCACCGAGAAATTACTGTAGCTATCTAAGATCAAATCCAGTTCCTTCAGCAGCTGTTCCCGCCCCTTGGACACTATGGTCAAGCCATAGCTCAAAACCTCACTTTCTTCCTCTTTTTCCACTTTATCCTTTACCTTTTTCTTCTTCTTCTTTGTCTTTTTGTTCTTCTTCTTCGATTGGCATTCCTCGTCGCTGGAAGAGGAATTACCCTGGGACTCACTCGGCGGCCGGAAGGAAAAGAAGTAGTGGGAGGAGTCCAGCTTGACGGCGGCGAGGTCCTTGGTCAGAGGCCATTGTATTTCGTCAGAGACGGCCGCGAAGACGGCTACGGTGTTGTCGCCCTGGCGGATGCGGTAGATCTGGAGATCGCCGGTGGCGAGCTCGACGGAGTATTGGCGGTCGATGAGGTGGAGGATGGCGCCAGGGACGGCGATGAGGGTCTCCTCGATGGACTCGGGAGGGGCGGAGGGGGCATTGGCCCCGGGGTCAGCTCCATCGGGGAATAGATTCTCGAGCAGGTCCCTCATGTCGACGGTCGGGTAGAGGGAAGAGGAAGGGGGGTGGTCGGGGGCGGTATCGCCCATCACTTGTGGGTACATTGTGGTCTGATTAGGGTTGGGATGGTCGTGGGACGCCATTTTAACCAAGATTCCAGCTCTGTTTTGGGTTTGCCCTCAAAATTGGTATATATTTGGTTGAGCTACACTTTGATAAAGAGACCATAAAAGAGAGAGAAATAGTAA